TTAATTTGTTACACATTTATGGAAAGCGTTTATCTCCTCGTGTGTTGGTTTAAATGTTGTGTTTCAGATTTTGGTAAAGGTCATTTATTCACCTGTTCATGTTTACTGGTCCAGCTGTTTGTTAATTTACCTTTAATTCGTGTTTTTTTTCTTACCTGTGTTGGTCTGTAGTATTGTGGTTAGGTTTATCTTAACATCTTCTTTATAGGAATATTTTTTGTTAAAAATTTCAGGAAACATTACTTTTGTTTTGGTAGTTCTTTCATGTTTGTGGATCTTTTTTTTTTTTTTTTAAGGCCCGATTAAGCTTCATATTTATTACTGTGTTAAAAATTCACGTAAATATTAATATCCTTTGAGTCGATTATGTAAACATCTTAAATACTGAAAATTTAACCAAATTTAACCTGAAAAAAAAATCGTCTTTTCGCGGAATTTGAGGGAAACTCATGAAGAAATATTTCTAGAAGTAAAACAGAGAATTCTCAAAGACTAGTAACTCCGGGTATTTTTTATTACTTGAAAGAAAAAAATGGAAGTACATATGGCGTCGATAGTTCATTAAGCCTCAAGCACTTACTGTATGTATTATCCTGTCTGTCACTTACTGGAAAATAATTACCGTACGAGTGGTTGAGACATTGGTCACTGGTGAAGGATACTGGCTTCTGGCTCAGGGCTCGAGGCAGATGAAATAGGATTACATAACACCGGCTAACACGTACTAAAACTCCATGGTGGTGTGAGCGTGCCGAGTTCCGTGTGCGTGTGACTGTTTTGTTCATATAAAGACGTACATGGGTGTTTCCGTGTATGTGGGACTGTTGTCCTGACATACATACGGTACATACAGGGTCTCTGTTTATATACATACAAGGAGACGTATATAACGGGTTAGGATGTGCATGTTACACACACACACACACACACACGGGGAACACCAGTGTACCCAGTGATGTTTATGACAGCTGTTACGTAGGAAAACATGCGAACGTGAGGGGAATGAGGGAAGGTGTAGGTCCGGGGAGAATAGTGGGTGATAGTGTGGACCGCCAGCGATATACAAACACAAATACATACATAAATGAATACACAATTACACATACATCCTCATAAACGCACTGGGGGAATATGCAAATGTACACATACACGGAGAGATGGATAGTAAACACATACACACAGTCACACAGGCATATACTGTGTGTGTGTGTGTGTGTGTGTGTGTGTGTGACGAGAATACATAAGCATGAACACATAGCTCACTACGTAGACTGCATATGCATGACTTGGTATACATATTCAGAAGCACACACACACACACACACACACACACACACATACATACATACTCCCTTCTATACACTCACCTACACATACCCGGACATACACATACAATACACGCACTATGCTTTAATCCCTTCAGCCTTTCCCTGTATGTGTGTATTTTTTATCCAGCCAGCTCACAGTACCTACCCGGAACGTTAAGGTATACGTTCTCTTCCTCTTCCTCCCTCTTCCTCTTCTTCTTCCTCCTTTTCCTCTCTTCTTCTCTCACTCATCTCTCCCCTTATTTCTTTACCCTCTCCCACACAGTCATTTCAGCTTAATGGTGTCATACGAACACCCATCTTCTTCCCCATTCCCACCCTCTTCCCCATTCCCACCCTCTTATCCAATCTTACCCTCTTCCCTGGTCTTAACCTCTTCCTCAATCTTACCCTCCCCCTTTCCCTTTCTCCTCCCACGTCTTTCTTACCATGTTCTAACTCCACGTTCTTCCATCTTCCCTCCCTTCATCACCACCTACTTATTTCTTCTACATTCCGGCTACGTCATTTCCCTTCCCTTCTGTTCCTTATCTTCTTCCTTCTTTCTCATCACTGTTTCCTCTCTCATTCTCTTTATTCCCCAGCTTCATCCTCATCCCTTAAGTTCCTTTTACATTTATGTCTTCTTATCTCATTCTGTTGCATATTTTCCATTCCACTCTCTCTCTCTTTGTCTCCTTTTCTCCCCTAGTCTTCCTCTCCTCGTATCTTTCTCTCTCCTTTAGTCTTTCTCTCTACCCATACCTCCCTCTCCCCCTGCACCCCCTCTCCCCCCTGTGCCTCACTCCTTCCCCGTATCTCCCTCTCTCCTTTAGTCTTCCTCTCTCTCTTTGCCTTCCTCTCTCCCTGTACTCCCTCTCTCTCTCTCTCTCTCTGTATCTCTCTCCGTGTGCCTTCCTCTCTCTCCCTCCTTTCCCTTTGTCCCTTTGACTCTCTCTGTATCTCCCCCTCTCCTTCTATCTCCCTCTCTCCCTATACCCTCCCTCTCTCCCTGTACCCTCCCTCTCTCCCTGTACCCTCCCTCTCTCCCTGTACCCTCCCTCTCTCCCTATACCCTCCCTCTCTCCCTGTACCCTCCCTCTCCCATCGTGTACCATGTAGTAGGAACATTCTCCATCAATTGTAACCTACCTCCCGTGTTCCCTCAAGGTCGTACGGTAAAATTTCCTCGTAAGAACGCACCTAACTGCCTAACTTAAGGTACATTATTATAATAATTCCCAAAATGGCATCACTATTACACCAAGACTCTAGCTCAGTGGATACGTTCTCACATATCACAGGTAATGAGACAGGGTCGAAACGTACACAGCAGGTGGAATCCTTACACCTGGTTTTGGGGGATCTAAGTTTGCCCCATCTGATGTGTTCTAAAATGTTCTATTTATCCACTTATCTAAATAGCTATCCACTTATGTGTCTCTTTAGGTATTCATTTATAATCTTTACCTGTTAATTTATCTCCTTATCCATTCATATATTTTTATGTTTGTTTAGCTATCTATCTATTGAAATATGAAGAGGTAAAGAACCATTGCGATAGTCTTCTATAGGTTATCGCATTTAATATCGTAAAGCCGTACACAATACTCGCTCCTATCGCCACATGGTCCCCGGCCTGGTTGAATATGTTAGCTGACTCCGTATCTGACTGACTTCCTCTCACTATTTGGGGGAAATTTCGGGTACAGGAGGCAAGGTGGCACTCACTTACACCTACTGTTTGTGTGTGTGTCTGTGTCTGTGACCGCGTCTAGTGTATGTATGACCACGGGAAATTTATGTTCATGCGCTGGTACACACGCTCATGCATACAAACAGTGAGGAGAAAACTAGCCCGAGTGTTTGTGAATACGTAAAGTTGTAAACACACTCAGGATGGCGGGGGTACACACACACACACACACACACAGAGTTCGTATCCTCACAACACCAATCCATTACTTCATCATAACAAAGAAGTACAAGAGTGAGCAGTACTTGATGGTAGGTGTGGCAGTGAGGCGGCTCCTACGTCCGCCACCCCGCGTAATGAGTCATATTAACAAATTAAAAACTCATCAACAGTCAGTCAGAAAGGGTATGTGCTGGCCGGACTGAGCCAGCCAGATAATAACAACATGATGTCACATCCCAACCACACCTCATACACCCTAGCAACACCTCACACACCCCGGCTACACCTCACACACCCCAGCTACACCTCACACACCCCAGTTACACCTCAAACACACTCATCAGCGGCTCCTTCACATTGCATCGATCGATAAAAACATATTGATTCACCAGAGGGTCGAGACTTGGTGGTGGTAGCCGCCTCCCGCCATCATCTAGTGTACAACACGACACACACACACACACACACACACACACACACACACACACACACACACACACACACAGTCTCTCTTTCCTTTACTAAACCTTAATTAACATGTAGTGTAAAAATTATGTCTATACGAAGGTTCCTATCGTACCATCAACAGCTGTCGTCTTTCAGTATTTTTTAAGGAGAGGATTCCATGTTTGATGTGGGAGTGTGTGAATGGGGTGGAGGGGGTTTGAGTGGGGGTGGAGGGGGTGGGAGGGGGGGGAGGGTGGGAGGGGGGAGGTGGGGTGGGAGTGGGGTGAATGTGAGGGTGTGGAGGGTGGAGGTGGGGAAGGGAAGAGAGGGGGAGGAAAGAAAGGAGAGAGAGGGTAAACAACAATGAAGGGATGGGAGAGTAAAAAATAAAGTAAATGGAAGAGACGAAGTATAGGAGAAAAAGGAAAAAGTGACTGAAAGAGAGAGGAAAGAGAAATAAAACCAATGTAACAAGGAGAGAGTATGTCAGTGTTGAATGAATAAGAGAGAGAGAGAGAGAGTATCTTTAAACGGACAAATAAAAGTAACAAAAAAGAGAAAGAAAGAAAGAAGGAGAGAGAGAGATAAAATAGATCAGTATCCCACTAGAAATCGTATAATATCACTTGAAATGGCCTTCCTCTTGTACAAAACTCATGGATAAAAGACCATACATAATAATGAACACACAAGACTAGAATAAAAAAAAACACGACAGATAAATGAAAAAAGAGAGAGCAGAATTTCCTGTCCCAAAATAACATAAAAATCATTAAATGAAGCTTTTGTCATGTTGTATAAATCCAGAATAGATCTCTATTGAGCATAAATCCTGCTGGGGAAAAAATGTGAAAAACCCAGATTTTTTGGCCAGCTGTGTTTGCTGTAACAACATCCGGCTGTGAGGGCACTCGAAAAAAGAGATGGCTCGAGGGAGAGAGAGAAAGAGAGAGAGAGAAGTAACATAGAGAAAGAGAGAGAGAAATGAAGCAACTGATATATAATTAACAGAAAAGAGAGCGAGAACTATAAAATACATTTGGAAGGGAGAGAGAGAGAAAGATAACTAGAAAATTTGGAGAGAAAGACAAGAACAATAAAAGAGTAGAAGAGCGAGAAAACGCACTAAGTTTGTAAAAGATTTGCCCAAGGGAGAGAAAGAGAGGGAGAGCGAGAACTGTTCAATGTAGGAAGAAGTAAAATGCCAATGCGTTTGTAAGAGAAAGATAGAGGGGAAGAAAGAGAAGAAAATGTCTGTATAAATATAGACATAGAAAAGAAAAACCCACAAGACATCTCGGCAGGTTGGGATCTTCCGCTCCACTTACCTTCCACTTTGCAGGCGGCGAGGAGGAGGACCACCAGCACCAGACGCAGCCGGGGAGACCTGACGGGGCCACGTTTCTGGGGGCTCCACCGAGCTCTTGAGGGCCCCATCACCTGGCAGGCCGCATGAGTGTCCTGGGGAGCTGGGGTCCTTGAGAGGAGAGTCGAGGTATTGCCAGCAACAGGATCGGGAATCCCTTGGAGAATCTGAGAATCTCTTGCTGGAGTCCTTTGGAGGAGTGTCGAGGATCTGGCAACAGTAGGATCGGGAATCCTTTGGAGAGTTGAAGAATTGATTTTCGCAGTATTTGACGTCCTTAGCGAAACCGAATTTTGGTTATTTTTGATAAAATAAGATGATGTTCTCGGTGGAAGTAAAGAATTGATTTCAACAGTATCAGCAGTTCGTGGATGAGAGGAGGAACAGTTTTTTGTAATACGCGTTGTTCGAGAAACTGAAGAAGTAGTTCCCTCTTTATCACGAGGTGTCCGGAGAGCCAATGAATTGATTTCCGGACTTACTCTCGAAAGTCTTTCAGGTCCTGAAGAACCGGAAACCGTATGTAGCTGTGTCCTGGGAAAGGCTGTCGAGTTTATGGCCTGTTTAGGTTGCTGAGAAAAACGTGTTGGCGAATTTGTTTTTTCGTCTCCGAGAACTTTGGGATTATTTTTTTCTCTGGTCTGGAGGTAAAAGGTCTCCTGGGCCGAAGACAAGACGGCGATTTTTATTATTGTCTTCTGAACTGGCGGAACCTCGACGCTGCAGATTGTTTTTCTGCCTGGAGAACCATTTGCACGGTGAGGTAGAAGATTCGAATCACGAGTCGGAGCCTCGGATAGTGGTTCGAACGACGCCGGGGAAAAGGTAAGGACCCCTTTAGTGTGCTCAGTCCGAATACAGATTGAGTTTTTTAGCCTCACAGCGTTCTTGAATTTGGCAGTCTTCTGTGTTGGGACGCGCACGAGGACACCCATGCTAAGGTCCGTCTCCACCACTACCACCACCACTGCAAGGCTTGTACCTTCATTGTCTCGTTCATGACACGCCAAGGTTTAACAACATGTTCACCTGTTGAATTAAAAAGTTCTTACTGTAAGCACCAGGCACGGTATTGTTTTTGTTTTTTTTCTGTAGACAGTTGGGTACACCCTGTAAGGTTCACCGTTTACCTCATAAAGAGAATGTGTTCTAGTGTATCTCTACCGTGTTTGAGGAATATGTTCTGCGTCTTATGTTGTTGGTGAAGACCCTCTGCTTTTATTATTATTATTGTGTGTGTGTGTGTGTGTGTGTGTGTGTGTGTGTGTGTGTGTGTGTGTGTGTGTGTGTATAGGGATGTATATTCGAACAAATTATGTAGACCCAAAAGAGACGAAACACTTTGGAAACGTTGTGGTTGTGGTGGCTCTGTGTGTTATACTGGCTGGCGACCAAACTGTTCGTGCATGCAGGAAGTGAGGCGACTTTTAGATTGTACATCCATAAACTATGATACATTGCATGCCAGTTTACTGCTCGCATATATTTCTCACTCCCTTTTGTTCTTTTACGCTGAATCTCTCTCTCTTTAAACACAAATAGTAAAAATACCCGAGAACTGTGCCACAGTTTTTACAAGAAGTCCTCAATTACCAACATCCATCCCATCCCATCCCATCAGGTAATGGAGTAAATACAAACACACCAGTGAACATTTCCCAGATGAGTATGGTGTGTCCTCAGTTCACCATTGCAGTTTGGTAGCGTCAAAAAGAAAACCCATCTTCTTGACTACACGGTTTTACATAAGTCAAGCTTCACTCCTAATAGTCACACTTTCACTGAAATATTGATATACGAATGAGGTTTATCAGTCTTAAATTCAATCCTTATGATATGGTTAGGTTAGGTTAGGACCCATTACGACTATTCCTCAATGTTAATGATTAAGTTTCTTAATAATGAAGCTTCTTAGCATTGGGACCCATCTACTACCAATTACGGGTTACTTAGTTCTGGGTCCCACGTTTTAGTCTAGGGAATGTGTTTACTGTCAACTGCATGTCCTTTACTACCAGGCCTCTTGATGCTGATTCATTGTTACCAGATCATCCTGTTACACAATTGGGAAATACTGACTTCTGCACCTAAAGATTATTTTTTTCTCTTTATGAACCAGGTGTTTGAAGTTTCCAGTATATCTATAAACCATAATTCGAACAGTACAGGTTATATTAAACTTTACTGAACATTTTCCTGTTTATTTGAATCCGATTTTATCAGATTAAGGGAAAATAGGAAATAAAGTTGTTGGGATCTTCAAAATCAGAAGAAAAAAATCATCTTAGTTTTTAAATCAGGTTTACCAGTCAGAAATAAACCCACGGAGCCCAGAGCAGCACCTGGGCAACACGAGGAACTGGTAATATTGTTTTCCTTTGTTGTTTCCAAATGCTCTCCACTGCTGCCCTCTGCTAATTCACATTCACTCTTCTCTCTGCTCACTGCTGCTTTTCGATTGATTCTCTCTGATCTTTTCTCTATTGGTCTCTGCTGCGGGGTTGCTCTGCTCTTTGCATTGTCTGCTCTGCTGCTGGCCTCTGCTGGGTTCCTCTTTTCTATTATTAGCCTCTGCTTGGATTATTTGGTCTATTCTGCTGGGCTTCTGCTGGGCTCTTCTGTCCTGCTATTGGTCTCTGCTGGGCTCATCTGCTTTCTGCAACTCGCATCTGTTGAGCTCCTTTACTCTCTGCTGCTGACCTCTGCTGGGTTACTCTGCTCTCTGCTGGCTCTTGCTACCAGACGCTGCTCATACCTCACACATTTTTATTACGTGAGTTGGTTTAGATCTACTTCGTGAGGTGGATTCAGTGCCTCCCTGGGCTTACACCCTGGCCGTAAGTCTCCCAGCTTTATTGTCCCGCTCTCTTATTTTCTCTCTTTTCCTTTCTTTTCCCTCTCTCTCTCTTTTTATGTCTGTCTGTCTAGCTGTCTGTCTGTCTCTTTTTACCATTGTTTACTCCTCTCCCTTCCTTTCTGTCTGTCTTTCGTACTGTTTGTCTCTTTTTTATCTTTCTTTTTCCCCTCTCTGTTTCTTTCATGTCTGTCTGTTTGTCTAGCTGTATGTCTCTCTCTCTCTCCCATTCTTTTCCGTCTTTCTCTCACTCTCTCTATCTGCATACCCATCTTTTTATCTCTCTCTCTCTCTCTCTCTCTCTCTCTCTCTCTCTCTCTCTCTCTAACACAACCCACTCCAGACACCCCTACATCATTAACATAAACACAGCCTTCAGACTTCCTAAAACCACTTCACTTGTAAACTAATTCTGCCGTACACACAAAGTGGCTTAACACTGTCTGCATAGAGCTCAGGGTCTATTAATTTTAAGCAAGTTTGTGGATTTCCTTATTATTAGTTTATTAGTTGTTATTATTATTATTTTATGAGTTATTATTATTATTAGTAGTAGTGGTAGTATTATTGTTAGCAGTAATTGTTGATACTATATTTAAGTCACCACACGGGGAGAAGAATCGGACCAAATCCAGTCAGAATCACCCCCAGAATCCGTAACCAAATATACTCTTATAACGAACGTCGCCGAATCTTAACGGAGCGGCACCAGTAGTCGTAAGTTTTCTTCTTGAAATCTCGCTCTTCCGGTTTTTATCCGAATCTCTCTCTCTCTCTCTCTCTCTCTCTCTCTCTCTATCCACCATCTTCCCCTCAACTATCCACCCTCACTATTCCTTCTTCCTATACCTTAAACCATCCTAATTACTTCCCTTTCTCTTTCACCTTGGACTGCTACTACCCGCTCTCTCTAGTTCATTATCCACCTGTACATTCCCCACTAATCCACACCACTATCCTTCTCTATCACCATCCAACTCTATCCTACTATCCTTCCCCCTCTCTGACCCTCTACCCATCCCCACTATCCATATCTACTATCCTCCTCCTCTAACATTTTATCCACATCCACCGTCCCATATTTCCATCCCAGTATCCCCCTCCTCCTCCTCCCTAACCCCACACACCCACAACTTCCCCCCCCTCCCACCCACAACCCCCCCCCACCTCCCCCCCTCCACCTGGCTATGGTCAGTGAACTTTATATTCGTGGCCCCGTGCTGACGTGAACCCTGGCCGTCTCTCAACCATTCTTTACAAGGTGATCTATCCTTCCCCGTTCCCTCCCCTCTCCCCATCTATCTCTCTCCTGCCCTTCTCTTTCCCCCCATCCCTCTCTCTCTTTCTCCGTTCACTAGTCACACTCTTACTCTCTAGTTCGCATTGGGCTTCACTCTCACTCAAACCCCACTTTTATTATAACCACCACTCTCTCTCTCTTCTCCTCTCCTTACAACCCTTCGTCTCCTATTACTCTTATGACGTTTTATCTTACTCTGCCTGTCTCTCTCTCTCCCCTTTTGTCTGTCTCTGTTTTCTGTCTGTCTCTTTCTCTCTCTCTCTCTCTTTTTGTCTCTCTCTGTTCATCTGTCTGTGTGTCTGTTTGTCTTTCTTTTTCTCTCTCTCACTCTCTCGTCTCCCATTACCCTCTTTGACACGGCCCCTCCTCTCCCTCGTTCTTCCATCTTTCCTTTATTCTCCCCCTCATTTCTTCCCTCCATCTTACATTCGCATTGCTGCTTGTTCAAGAGGCTTTACCTGCCAATCTCACCATCTCCTCTTCCCTCACCTGTATCTTAATTACTATTACACACTTCTACTTCTCAATAAGTGTCTCTCTCTTTCTCTCTCTCTCTCTCTATCTATCTATGTCACTGTCTTTATTCATTATTAATATGTATTTTGATTTCGTTTTATTTTCAACTTTCAGATTCTCATTTGACTCGAACTGGTGGATTATAGGTTGTCCATTTTGTTTAACCTCTCCTTTGACTAATTTTACTATTGTTAGCATTAATTTATCTTTACATCTATTTCAAGTTCTTCATTTGACTGTATCCGATCATTTTAATTCCTTATTTGACCCCATCTAATCATATCAAGTTTCTCATTTGACTCAATCGGATTATTTAAAGCTCTCATATGACTATACAGGTTAAGTACCTCTTTTGATTACGTCATTTGAAATTTACTCATTTGACTACATAAATTCTCGTATAAGTCTGTTAAATTATCTTTAGTATATTATTTAACTTAACCAATTTCTCTAAGTTTTTTCGTTAACTTTCACTTTCAGTTAACTTTCGCTATACGTTAAAAATTTCTCTCATCCTTGCATATTTACGACAAAAAACCCTATTGGAGTCAGTCGCACGCAAACAGGATCTTATTTAACGAGAGTCGTGCGTCAAAAATGCTCCCATTAGAATATAAATTGCTGAGTAAGGACATTTGAAAAGACCTTATGCATCAAGGAAGCTATCAGAAGCCATATTTAAGACGCGTAAGATTCTCATTTGACTATACTGCATTGCTCTGGAGAATTACCGTGGGTATTGTGTAGTTATGATGAATTTAATATTAATTGGATAAAGCGAGATAAAACTAGATTGATGTTGTGTACGTAAAATTAGCTTGATGTTGTGTACGTAAAATTAGTTTGATGTTGTGTACGTAAAACTAGCTTGATGTTGTGTACGTAAAATTAGCTTGATGTTGTGTACGTAAAACTAGTTTGATGTTATGAAGGTATAACTATTTTGATATTATATAAGTAAAATGCAAATTAAACTTCTGTATGTAAAACCAGTTTGATGTTATATAAGATAGTAATTTTAGTGTGTTATATAACTAATCTAATAAAATATAGGAATTGAGGCACTGATAATATCCAAAAGTCGATTGAGTTTAACTGCACAATTTTTAATATATTTTATACCGTAATTCTTAATCTTTTTTACCATTGTAGTTCTTAAACCAATTATAAACCAATTTCCCGTCAAAATTGTGAAACTAGTTTGATACTGCAAATGTTAAACAAGCTCAGTATTGCAAATCTTAAACCAATTGAATGTTGCAATATCAAACCAATTAATTACTACGAATATAGAATCCTTTTGGAGATTAGACATTCCCAAAACCCCATTCTCGCTCCCTGCACCGTGTTGGACATTCA